ATTAAATCATATTGTGTACATAAAAACGTACTTATAAATTTTTATACGTTGTATACGTGTAAATTTTTTTAATAAAGAATATAAGTTCCAGATTATTGAGATCCATTTCTTCTTCTTTCAGTGCCTATTCGTTCCGAATATTGGCAATCATTCTGGCTATAATTATTTTATTGACTGATGCTTTAAATAGATTCGTTGTTGTTGTGGAAAACCATTTCCTCAGGTTCTTCAACCATGATATTCTCCTTCTCCCAATTCCTCGCTTTCCGAATACTTTACCCTGTAGGATTACCTTCAGTAATCTGTATTTAGTGCTGTTTCTCGTTATATGTCCGAGATATTCCAACTTTCTCCTTTTAATGGTATACATCACCTCTCTTTCTTTGCCCACTCTTCGTAATACGGTCTCGTTGGTTATCTTGTCTGTCCATGATATCCTTAGAATTCGCCTGTATAGCCACATCTCGAAGGCTTCAAGTTTTTTCTCCATTGCTTCAGTTAGTGGCCAGGATTCAACTCCGTAATACAATATTGAGAAGATATAACATCGTAGGAGCCTTACTTTTATCTCCAGATTAAGATTGTGGCTTTTAAAGAGTTTGGCCATGTTATTGAATGCACTCCTAGCCTTCTCTATTCTACATTTTATTTCCTGTGAGTGATCCCATTGTTCATTTACTGTTGTTCCAAGATAGTTATACTGTTTTACTCGGTCCACTGGTGTATTATTGATAAGTAGTTGAGCGTCTCTAACTTTATTTTTGCTGATGATCATAAATTTAGTTTTTGTTATATTTACTTGAAGTCCAAATCTTTCACTTACTTCATTTACTTTGTTTATTAGTTGCTGTAAACCGTTCAAACTGTCTGCAAAAATAACGGTGTCGTCTGCATAACGAATGTTGTTTAGGCGTTCTCCATTTAGAAGTATTCCATGTTCGCATTTTTCCAAGGCTTCACTAAATATTTCCTCTGAATATAGATTAAATAATATAGGTGAAAGTATACAACCTTGTTTAACGCCTCGTAGAATCTGGATCATTTCCGTTGGTTCACCTCCAAAATTCGTTCTTATTGTGGCTGATTGGTTCCAGTATAAATTTTGTATTATACGCCGATCTTTATCATCCATTTGGGCTTTTGTTAGAATATTTAGAGTTAGAGATCCATTTAGTCAAATTATTTGGACCAGTCATAGAAATTGGCTAATTTTTCAAAAAATCTTATAGGTAAATAAATTAAATTTCGCAAAACTATTGAAACCAATCTGGCTCATCTTTAGCACAAAATTCAAACACAATAAGACCCTTAAGTTCAGATACATTTAAACAAATTTTAACAAACAATAAAAAAAGTTATTAGCAATATTCAAAAACAGTGATTTTGTTGTCTTTGCGAACCCGATTTTAAATTAGTGTATCTCAATTTATGTATCCTTTTTCTGAATAAGTTGTCTGTGGATGTCAAATGTCTCTAAATAGATATGTTTTTAAGTTATGAACAAAATAATGGGTTTGGTATAGTTCCGCTAGATGAATCCCTAGATGATAGTCTTTTTGTAGTATCGTATACTACACATTTCAACTTTCAAACCCGTCTATACAATTGTGACGAAAGAGGCTTGTTTTTTACTGACTTAATTGGTCTATAAGGCAAGAATACCAATACAGGAAGAGACGCGGCTGCAGAGCTCTTCACTTTTCAGGATCACAAATAGTTAAATCACCAATTGATACATCCAGCAGCAACGAGGCTTTACAGAGGGCCTTAAGAACTAATTAGCAAACAGTCAAAAATATTGTAAACTATGAAAAAGTAGCAAGGGTAACAAACCCATGTGAGCTGTATAAATTACCAGAAATGGATGTTATATTATATATCTAGAGTTATTACAAAAGGGACTGAAATATTGTTGTGCAGAATATAAAATGCACGGAGAGATTTAATAACGTTAATAAGGATGTGTATTTGTGCTTTGTGTATTTTAGAACAGCATTTTATAATATCAATCATGAACAACTAATAGATATTCTACGAAAGGTATTGACGACAAGGATATTCGGGTTGTGACAAACCGGCACTAGAGTCAGTCACACAGCAAGAGCAAAAATTTGCAATAAACTTAAATAAGAGGTCTCCAACATGGGTGTATCTTATTTCCAATCCTCTTCAACATATACTTTGAGAAAATATTTAAAAAATGTGGGGAAAATGCAAATGGAGGCATAACAATAAACGGTGATTTAACGAACAATATAAGAAATGCCGATGACACGGTGATCCTTGCTAGTAGCATAGATGAATTACAACAGGCAATGGAAAGGTTTAATTCAGTTAGTGAGGAATATGGCCTAAGCCTCAACTTTAACAAGACAAAATGAATGCTGATAAGTAAAAAGTAACAATCTGAATATACGTGTCGAATCTTATGTATACTTTTGCACCAACATAAATACAAGATAAGTATAGGCCACAGAAGTTAAGGCGAGAATATAACGAGCAAGAGTAGAATTTAACAATATAAAAGCTCCTCATAAGCAAGACTTTGCCTCTTCCTCTAAAACTACGTCTTGTTAAATGCTACATTTTTCCAATCGGAATATATAGTGAGGAGGCCTAAATGCTCACAGAGACGCTAATAAAAAACTAACAATATTCGAAATGTGTGTATACCGACACATCCTTCGTATATCCTGGCACGAACATGTCTAACATAAAAGAAATCCACAGAATTAGATAATAGAGCAAAATCGCTAGTCCAATTAAACAAAGAAAATTTAAATATCTAGGTCACATATTGAGACATGATAAGTATCCTTAACTTCAATTGATTATACAGGGAAAAATAGATGGCAGCCGAGAGACACTCGTGCCTTTAAAATCTGCAGAAGTGGTGTGGACCCCCGTCGAACTGTTCAGAAGTACCGTAAGCAAGATTAGAATTGCCTTGTTAATATCCAACGGTCGCAGCGGACAGGGCACTTAAAGAAGAAGAAGAAAGCTGCAGTGATAAGAAGGTGAACAAAACGAAGAGGTACAGTATCTCGGGATTATATTATACTTAAAACTTATCTGAAACTGGCAATTACAAAAAATAAAAAGCAGTGTAATGACAACTCTTATGAGTATCAGACGCATATATATATATATATATATATATATATATATATATATATAATATATATATATATATATATATATATATATATATATATAAGAAGAAATGGGAATTGAGACCGGACATGGTGCACTGGGTTGATGAACTAACACAGCTGCTAACACATTCGAACAGCTGCAAAAGCGAAGCGACTTGTATGGGGATAACTAGGGCCATGCATACCACTCCAATAGCAGTTATGAAGACTCTACTAGGCCTGCCTCCGTTGCATTTGATAATACAACGAGAGGCAAGATTGGGAGCCTACAGAATAAAACAATCACTGAAACTTCGCAATGACAAGAGAGGGCACATGAGTATCACAAGCACTGTGTAGAAGGATATGTTTAATGTGGAATCGGATTACATGACAAAAAGGGAAAATGTTACGGGGTCTCCATTCCAGACAGGGATGTATGGAAAAAAGGACTACTACAAACAATAAGGTAAGATCGAGTATACTAACGCATCCAAGACTGGAGAAAGTGTGGGGGCAGCAATATAATCCAAAAACCCAAAACCAAACCCAAATCAACTAGGATTTAGAAAAGACTTTGGCACTAAAAGTATTAATTACTATACAAACACTTATAGAACGATGTCGAGATGTCAACTATGACGGCTTTATATGTCTAGTTGACTTTGATGAATCCTTTGACAAAATACAATACAGAAAGCTGGCAAACATATTACGGAATACAGAAATAGATGATCAGGATGTAAGAATTAATACAAATTCATACCGTTATCAGAAAGCCATAATACGAGTATATCAACAAAAATCCAAAGAGATACCTATAAGAAGAAGAGTATGCAAGCACTATTCTTTCTACTTTTTAGTATGTACTCAGAAGAGATGTTTAAAAAGGCACTAGAGGATATCAATAAAGGCATATAAATTAACGGAACACTAGTAAATGATCTCAGATATGTAGACGATACAATGCTCCTTGTGAACAGCAGAGAAGGGCTGCAAATTTAATTGATCGCACTACGCAGGTATGAAATGGCTCTGAACACACAAAAAAAAAACAAAAATCATGGTGTCAATAAGAACCAGATTAAAGACGAAACAATCTACGTTAAAGGAAAAGCTTTAGAGAAAGTACCCAGATATAACTATTTGTAATGTGAGCTAAACGAACACTGAGACAGCAGCTTTGAAATAAAACAACGCATTGAGATACGTAGAAGCGCTGTCAATGAGACGAAAGCAGTCTTATGTAATGGAAAACTGGGAATAGAAATTAGAACTAGAGTATTGAGATGCTACGTATTCTCTGTCCTTTTATATAGAGTTGTGGTGTTATCGAAACATGTAAAAAATATCATACAACACGTAACAAACACATTTTAAAGGTAACTAATTTTTGTTTCCACTGAATGTACAATTGTATATATCTACATTAAATTGCACAGAAAAAAAGTTATACAACAATGTTTGCCAAAAAATGGGCAAAATGGTCCAAAATTGGTATAAGTGGCAAACTTTGAAAAATCGTATCTCACATACTATGAGTCCTAAAGACTTCTACCGAACGTCATTTTGAAGAGGAAGGATAGATTTTTTTTTACGTAGCAGCACCTATAGCTATAACCTCGTAAACAAGTTTTAAAAAATAGCACTTTTTCGTGTTTTTAAGCTTTGTTTCATTAATATATTTTGTTAAAAAAATCATTTTTGACTTTATAAGGAGACATTTTAATAGTAAATTTACTTTTAACTTTTAAATAAGTATTCTGTAGATTTATATGTAAAAAATGCATAGAATTTACCTAATGTATACATAATCAATATCCTACAAAATGAAAACAAAACGTTAAATAATTGATTGTTACCTACCACTATACTAGATACTGTCGCTACTAAAGAACAATCAGCAATTGTTAGATGTTTCCCTGTTACAAAATCATTACCCTCGAGAAATACATTCAAAAATCCTAAGGCCTCTTCTAAATAACGTTTATGTTCATCATAAATTTGATCTTCACCTTTATGTGAAATTGGATACTGTAATAAAAAATAAACCTGATTAATGCCAAATTAAAACCAGTAATTTACGTTTAGCTGAATAATTTCAGCTTTATTTTAGTATTATATGCAAGAGGTAAATGCACATCAATACAGCCTAAAAGCATGACCAACAAAATAGTCCAAATTGTCAAACTATTGTGTACTGTGTAGAGCTCTTCGAGTTTTAACTCTACTCTACTATAAATGCACAGGGTTGTCGGCCTTCGCCAGCTGTTGATTTTATGGTGGCTCCACACCTTGGTATGTGTTATTCGTTATGCGCCATATACGGCCACATAAGACGAAGTGTGGAGGGTACATTTGTCAATTATTTGCTTCGTTCGCACGCATAAGCAAATAACCCAATAGCAAATACGCCTATCCTTCCACGCATCTATTTTTTGACACTTCAAAAGACATGAATAAGCCAAATGCACGTCGAATGTATGTATCCACTGCTTACATTTCGCTTATTTGCTCGCACCGGTATTTGTCTCACTATTTATCTCAACCCAACTGTATTGTAATCCTCTTTATTCTTGAACCATTAATTCAACAAATAAAAAAAAAACAACGGAATGGAAATAAACTTAGAGAAAACCGAATACCTAACAACAGAAAACAAGGATATGAGAAACCTAGAGATAGGCGAGGGAAGACAAGTAAATGGAACAGATAAATTCAAGTATTTAGGAACCATAATATCGAACCAGGGAACAACAGAAGAAGATATAAACAACAGACTAAGACAAACAAGAAACTGTATAAGACAAATAAATTCAGTGCTGTGGGATAAGAACATTACGATAAAGACAAAAAAGAGAATATATAATACCCTGGCAAGAAGTATCCTGACATATGGGTCCGAAAACTGGACAATAAGGCCCGCCGCAAATTGAGTACAGCCCACGCACATCCCACGCGCAGCCCACGCGTGGGTTATTTTGTTAAACGTGGTTTTAGACGGAGCGACGCATATTAAACCCAAACCACAGCCAGGGAGCCAGGCTACTGCCAGACTTGGTTGGCGTGGGTTGGCGTGGACAGAGTTGTGCTAGCAACACAGTTTCGTGGGTCGTGGGTCTTTACCTAACCTTAGTTATTTTGTTTTGTGTGACCAATTTTTTGTTATTCAGTGAAAATGGAAAAGTTTATTGAAATTGTTCGAAGCTTTAGTGTCTTGTATAATACTAGTAATGAAGATTATATGAGAACAAAACTAATATTTTCTTTATTTGTGCTAAGCGACTCGGATGTAAGTCGCCGTTATAATTATTTAAAAAAAATTAATTTAAATTAATTTTTTATTAAATAAAATGAGAAATATAACAAATCGAGAACTAAGGAAAAAAACAAATTTTCATTTCCTAGCAAAATGTTTATGACCACCTAAGATGAAAACTTTAAAATAAAATTTGATGGTACTTTTTCGTGATGCTCATATTGTAATGGCTTTTATACACTGAAATTAATTTAAAAAAAGAACATGAAGAAAGTAGAAAAATAATAAAAAATTCTCAAATTTAAATTTATTTCGAAAACAAAATACGATCTGAAATTTTTGTATTTTTTAGCTCTCCTGTTGGTTATTACGTTATTTCACTTATTTCAACAATACTCTGTATAGTATTTTGTTAGAGGATTCCAACTTAGTACCCTCAGCATTGTAAAAGTTTCCAAGAAATTAATATCCGATGGAGTTTTCAAAACAAGCGAAATGAAAGTCGGAATATTCAACGACATTGTGGCCAGTTACAATATCTGCCTGTTATGCTAATTAGTAATTAGAAAGTTAATATCGGCAAAACCAGCTTATTCAAAATATGGGTATCGACCTGTTATAGTCTTTTGTTGAAGGATTTCAATTTATTACCCTTATCATATGTAAAAGTTCTCAAGAAATTAATATCAGGTTCAGTTTTCAATGAAACAAAAATCTAATCTTTAACAGAATTGTTAAAATTGTTTTACCATGTAAAATATCTGCTTATTATGCTAATTTGTAATAAGAAAGTCAAATCGGCAGAAGCAGCTTATTCAAATTATATCTATAGTCTTTTGTTGAAGGATTTCAATTTTTTACCCTTATCCTTTGTGAAAGTTTTCAAGATATTTATACTTTCAGATTAGAAATTGTTAGTGGGATATTAGGTAAAAATTAAAAGGTCTAGAAAATAAAATCTTTATTTAAACTGATATACTGAAAACAGTCTATCTTTTCGTTGAATAGTATTTGCGAAACCAATCTCCTATGCATGGTCCAGGTTTTTCGTCAGAATCAGCACACTCGTAAATTGTGTTTTTCCTAATTTTATTGATAGAACATATTCTACACAAATATTTGACATGGGCGTGGGCTGTGTTCAATATGCGTTAGTATTGAAAAACGTGTACTTGGACTAGGTTGGACCATACGTGCTCAATTTGCGCCGGGCCTAAACAAGAGAAATAGAGGTAGAATAAGAGCAGTAGAAATGGAGTTCCTGAGGAGAAGCTGTAGACTTACAAAAAGAGAGAATTGAAAACTGTGGAAATCCTTAATAGTAGTAGTAGTAGTAATTCAACAAATTTGTTTGTTTATATACAACTATCGCACTTATTACGCTTTGAGTTATGGTGCACCTACTGTAAAACGAAGTGGACACATGAAAATGATATGAATTTATACCGAAGCAGTATAACAAATAATACATAGCGAAGTGTGGTGCCGTCATTACACTAAAGTGCGTCGTACAAAACAGACTTGGTGGTGCCTCTCTCTGCAGTACAAAGAGTATAATCCCTGTACCACTCCCGTAAAGAGAGATCCTCAAAACATTACTGTTTTAAGAGCGAAGAGGTGCGCTAGTTGATCGACGACAACGAAGAAAAATTGATGCAATTACGTCACTCATGTTGGGAAAACTAAAACTGAGAGGTGGGCCGCAGACAATCTGCGTTAAATTTACTATAAAATGATATTTATTTATATTTTCTTATTAATTTAGTATTTAGTCTGACTGTTACGAGTATTTGAGTAGTAAATAACAGTAATGCAACTTGGCAACAATAAATAAATAATAAAATTACTTTATTAAATTTTAAAAATATTTAAATATAATTTAAATTTTTACACAAAACAGAGTGTGAATATTCGTGCTACTCTACTGCATCGCCTACTATACGACCTTTTTTCATATCGATACATTTTTGGCAAAGTAACTTAAGTCACCAAACACGATTTGTAGAAAAAACAATTTTTTAATTCAACCTGGTTAAAATTATTTAAATTATGACTGAAAACACTTGTCCTACTTGTTCTAAAAAAGGTTTAAAGTAATTCGACGCTTACTACACTTTGGCAGTACCCTTTTAACAATAATAGTGTTAGTTTAATTGAAAAACATGATTTTCACCAAAAATGTCACTTACGTTACTTTGCCAAAAATGTATCGATATATCCAAGTTCTATATCGAAGAATATAAGTTAAGTTTATTTTTACGAAAATCACGTGTAAATATGCATTTGTGTATAACTATCCGCCATTAAAAATTTTAATAATAAACATTTAAATAAACTATAAATTACATTTAAATAGTCACTGATAATATATAATTAGCTGCCACGAAAAAAGTTTGCTACCTTTTTAATTAATCCTAACTTAGAATTTATCTTCTGGAGAACATGGCATTGTAAGTGAAATGCAAAGCACGTGGTGTTCGTGTGTATTAAGGTATAAAAAAGCGCTTATTAAAAGCTTAAAATTTTTTTTTATTATTATAAAGAAGATCTTTTCGGAATTGTATCATTCCATCATCAGGTTAATAAAAAGTTGTTGAAAAAAAAACATTGTGTGGCCACATAAAAAACATTCGATGGACATCTGGATTTAAAAAATAATCTTCATGTTATTTATTCAGGTAAATGCGATAGACTCTTAAATTGTGTATTAATAAAAAATGAAAATGGGGGCATCTTATATGACCTCCTGTAGCTGGTGAGGTTTTATCGACTTACATTACCTCTGATCTGTGTTGGAGTCTAGAGCTAACTGACTAGACCTAGTCTAGGGCTAACCCCCAGTTAGCCCTAGACTCCAACACAGATCAGAGGTAATGTAAGTCGATAAAACCTCACCAGCTACAGGGGGTCATATAAGATGCCCCATTTTCATTTTTTATTAATACACAATTTAAGAGTCTAAATAATACACAATTAAGAGATGTCCATCGAATGTTTTTTATGTGACCACACAATGTTTTTTTTCAACAACTTTTTATTAAACTGATGATGGAATGATACAATTCCGAAAAGATCTTCTTTATAATAATAAAAAAAAATTTAAGCTTTTAATAAGCGCTTTACCACGTGCTTTGTATTCAACAGGTATACTAGACTACGTTTCACGTTTAGAAAATAACATTGCGAAGATAGGGCCATGTATTTCTTATGGACGATAGCAACACGGCGTTGCCACGACACACACAAGCACAATTTTGGTTTGTATAATTTGTATTTTTGTTTCCACAAACATGAATTAAATTAATGTTTTTTAACGTAATTGACCAAAAGTGCCCATTCGAAACAAGAGATGAAAAGTAGGGAAAATGATTTTAATTAGATAAATAGTATTTACAAAAGATAATTTTATTTTATCTTATTTTAATTATAGTAACGACAGTTTATTTGTTTTTCGGTGAGAAAACGATATGCCATGAATCATATAAATCAGTAGAAAATATTGACCGCTTGGAATGCGTATATCTAATTACTAATTGCAACTTAAAATAATACGATGTGCGTATGTCAGCTATTTTATGTCGTCTCTGACTACATAATGATAATAAGACTTTTATTTAGTAGTTATTCTGACTTTACAGTTAAATATTAATTGAAAATGAAAATTCAAAAGTTAAGCAAAGAGAATATCTTGGACATCCGTGCAAAAGAGAGTGTCTGAGAGTTTTGGCAACACTGATCTCCATAAGCGTAATGTTATTTTCTTAACGTGAAACAA